TATCCTTTTTGGGTCTAGCTGGCTACCTCAGGTCCTGGATCCCTAAATACTCCCTCTTAACCAGTCCTTTATATGAAGCAGCTGGAGGGTCACCTGAGGAACCTCTTTTGTCCCCCTCCACTCTCATTTCTCCTTTTAGGAGGCTTCAACTGGCCTTATTCCAGGCCCCTGCCCTCAGGCTGCCGGATCATTCACACCTGTTCTTTCTATATATAACTGAAAACCAGGGATTTGCATTGGGAGTTTCAGGTCAGCAGATCGGACATTGTTTGCACCAGTTATTTGTCAAAACCCCTAGACCCTCCGATTAGGAGCTGGGCTCCTAGCCTCAGAGTCCTAGCCTCCTCTTCTGTTTTAATACAGGAAGCAAAGAAGCTAACCTTTGGTGCAGCCCTAACCATCTTCTCCCACCATCACCTGAGTTACAAACCTATAAGGGGCTACAGACTATGCCTCCCTCCCATATTCTCTCCCTTCAAGAGTTGCTGGTAAGCCGGGTGCTGGTGGCTCACGCATGTAATCCTAGTTACTCAGGAGGCTGAGATCTGAGGATCATGGTTCAAAGCCAGCCCGGGCAGGAAAGACCCTGAGACTGTCTCCAATAAGCCACCAGAAAACCAGAAGTGGCGCTGTAGCTCAAGCGGTAGAGCGCTCACCTTGAGCTGAAGAGCTGAGGGACAGCGCCCAGGCCCAGAGTTCAAGCCCCATGACCAACAAAAAAAAAGAAAGAAAGAAAGAAAAGCCTCTAATATTAAGTCCTTTTGAAATTATGTATGGCCACCCACCTTTGCCTCCTCTATTTCAGGCTTCAGACCTTCACCCGCACCCCCAAATGCTGTCTTCTCTCCTTCAGCACCTGCGCACTCTTCTTTGGAAATACACGGATAAATATAGCCCTATGCCCTCCACATTGTCCTCCAGGCCTTCCATCAATGCTGGGGACCTAGTGTACATTTCAAAGAATCACCTGCCACAAGCACCTAGTTCCACCAAGCTTTCTGTAAATGGAAAGGACACTATCTAGGTAACTCTACTCCACTGTGGTGCAGGTTCAGGGCTGTCCACATTGGATTCATCCGCCACGTCAAATGTCACCTACCTGATCAACCTTCATACACTTCCAAGCTAACAGGACCCCAGTCTCTACAAATCCAGTCTTCCTCCAGTCCAGGAACTAGAAGATCCCTCCCTGGACAAGTAACATCTTCATAACCACTTTGGGTCAACTTCTTGCACAGTACCTGTGCCCCCACCCCCAACTGACTACCTCACCCCCTCTCAGCAGGAAGTAGCTAAGAAACAACCTCCAGCCCATACTTCCTGCCTGGTATAGTACATATTGTAAGTCAGCAACCCCCCCCCATTTCCCATCCCCCACCCAGACCTAAGCTCCCTGAAGGGCCGGTGAGGCACCTCCCAGCTCCAGCCCCAACAGTATAAAAGGGTCCTCCTAGGAGCCAGATGGCTCCAAGTTCTCCCTCCTGAGAACTTGGTCTAGTCAGCTCTGCTGGCAATAAACCTCTCTCTCTACCTGACTTTGTCCTCAAGGTCTTTTAGGTTAATTTCCTTTCAAGGACGATCTCAGTTTCAGGCCATTCCAAGAAAAAAAGTGTGATCCTATCTCAGAAACAAGTAAAACAAAAAGTGTTTGAAGTGTAACAAGTGGGTACAGTGTCTAATCAGCAAGGATAAAGCACTGAGTTCAAACCCCAGACAGGCCCAAAAAGACAAACGTATACTGCTTTTTTGTTTTGTTTTTTTTGGTCAGAGGCCTGAACTCTGGGCCTGGGCGCTGTCCCTCAGCTCTTAAGCTCAAGGCTAGCACTTTACCACTTGAGCCACCGCGCCACTTCTGGCTTTTTCTGCTTATGTGGTGCTGAGGAATCGAACCCAGGGCCTCATCCATGCAAGGCAAGCACTCTACCACTGAGCCACCTTCCCAGCCCTTACATATATTACTATATTACATTATTACTATCTTTTCACTTATATGAAATACATAGAATATATAAATCTATAGAGACAAAGTAGTGTTAACAGTGGCTTACAGGGATAAAAAAGGTATTAATTACTAAAGTATACAGGAATTTCATTTAAGGTGTACAGAATGTTCTAAAATCAACTATAATAATAATACCAATCTATGAAGATAATGAAAGTTACTGAATTGCATACTTTAAATTGTATGACATATGAATAATCCAATAAATCTGTAAAATATTTTTATATGAGTTGGGCCGAAAGCCGGGTATCAGTGGCTCACACCTATAATCCTAGCTACTCAGGAGGCTGAGATCTGAGGATCACGGTTCAAAGCCAGCCTGGGGAGGAAAGTCTGTGAGACTCTTATCTCCAATAAACCACTAAGAAACTGGAAGTGGTACTGTGGCTCAAGCAGTAGAGCACTCGCCTTGAGCTGAAGAGCTGAGGGATAGTGCTCAGGCCCAGAGTTCTGGCCCCACAATGGACAAAAAAAAAAAAAGAGTTGGAAGTGTGGCTCTTTTTGCTTTATTTTACCCTGTTTACCCTGGACTAGGATCCTATTTACACTTCCCTCATAACTGGGAAAACAGGCAGATACCAACACACCCAGCTTTATTTTTGGTTGAGATCAGGTCTTGTGAACTTTATACCCAGGCTGAATTTGAACAATTCCTCCCTCCCCGCCCCATCTCAGCCCAAATAGCAAGGATTACTGACATGAGTCACCACACCTGGCCATGCTGCAAGGCCCTACTCTCCTCAGATCACCATGGCAAAACTCTTCAACTCTCCATTAGTTTGTTTTGATTGTTTTTCTGTTATTTCTTTATTATCCTCCTGGCTGAATTTGCTACCAGTATTAAGTGTATTCATGCTGCAAGTCTTGTTTTTGGCTTAGGCACTCAGGGCCTAGGCACTGTCACTGAGCTTCTTTTGCTCAAGGCTAGCACTCTACCACTTGAGCCACAGCACCACTTCCAGCTTTTTCTGTTTATGTGGTACTGAGGAAACAAACCCAGGGCTTCATGAATGCTATGCAAACACTTTACCACTAAGCTGCATTCCTAGCCCAGCTACAAGTTTCTTGGGGACATGTATCCTCCTCAGTCACTGGCTTTCTAATAAAGACTCCAGATATGACCTCTCAAGAAAAAAATTAGTAAACTGAAACAATGAAAATTTCAAAACTCCAACAGCTGTTCCCTTGGATGGAAAATAAGCCCCTACCTAGTGAAAACAAGAGCAAAATAAACATAATTACACAATACTGAGAATGAAAAAATAATCATATACGAAATGAACAATACTGTGAGGCACTGCATTATAATTAAACAGAAATCCTTGCTAACATGATGTTTCTAGGAAAATTACAAATTACTAAAACTAACCCAAGTCTAAGTTTATGTGCATAAATTACAACCTGAAAGGAATCCAGATGTATAAGTTTCAGTATTTTCAAACACAAAAGAATTCCTATATAATGGTTCTAGGGCTTAAAAATCAATCTTTTTTTTTTTTTGTCAGTCGTGGGGCTTGAACTCTGGGCCTGGGCGCTGTCCCTGTGCTCTTCAGTGCAAGGCCAGTGCTCCACCACTTGAGCCACAGCGCCACTTCCGGTTTTCTAGTGGTTTATTGGAGATCAGAGTCTCATGGACTTTTCTGCCCGGGCTGGCTTTGAACTGTGACCCTCAGATCTCAGTCTCCTGAGTAGCTAGGAGTAGCTAGGATTACAGGCGTGAGCCACCGGCTCCCGGCTCCAGTATTTTTCATAAGAATGGTGTAAGACTGACAAAGTACAAGGCTCTTCTGTGAAATGTTAACCTGGAAGATGTTGAACACTGAATGGAGGCTAGAGAATATAAGTGAAGGGGATAAAGGAAGAACAGGAAATTAATGCACAGATTTCCAAACACTGTTCATGACTCCATTAAAAGTTAAAGACCGGGGCTGGGAAGATTGCTCGGTGGTAAAGTGTATGCCTTAAAAGCATAAGGCCCTGGGTTAGATTCCTCAGCACCACATAAGTAGAAATAGCTGTGGCTCAAGTGGTAGAGTGCTAGCCTTGAGCTGAAGAGCTGAGGGACAGTGCCCAGGCCCAGCGTTCAGGCCCCACAACCTACAAAAAACAAAAACGTTAAAAACCAGCCGGGCACTGGCGACTCAAACCTGTAATCCTAGACTACGGGATGTCAAGATCTGAGGATCTCATCTCCAAATGACCACCAAAAAAAGAAAAAAAAAAAAACAGAAGTGGAAGTGTGGCTGAAGTCGCAGAGAGCCAGCCTGCAGAAGAAAAAAAAAAAAAAAGCAACAGCATGAAGCCCAGAGTTCAAGCCCCAGATCGTGGCTGAACTCCGCAAGCTAAACAAACTCCACCAATTGAGCCACTCCTCCAGCTACTTGAAAAGCAGTATATCTATGGTAGTTTCAAAGTCATCTTCACAGATCGCCCCTAAACCCAGCTCTTTCTCCTTTGTCCACAAAAGCATTGTGATTCTCGTTTTCCCAGAGTGTTTGGAGACTGGCATTCGAACTCGCTCCCAACGTCTGGGGATCCCCACCACAATAACTACCAACGAAGGCGCAGAGCCTCTCGACACCTCTCACTAATTACTCTGGGGGATTCAGGCCCGTCTCCCCAACAAGCTGTATCCCAGGTAACCACTCGCTGGGGAACAACGCGGGAAACCGTAAGCCCCACCTCCTTGCACAAGCGTTAAACTACTGGCTCTGGGGAATCGAGAGGGGCGCCTCCGAACAGCTGCCTCGGTTCAAAAGGCCGGGGGCCCACCGAGGGGAGGAGCGGGGGAAATGAAACCCGAGATGGGGGGATCCGGGAAGAAGGCCAGTCACCGGGCTGAATCCGGGCCCCAGAGGCAAGCAGCACCCCTAAACTCCTTGCGAAGCTGGCTGCCTGTCAGGCACGGTGACAGGCAGGGCCGGAGTGCGGGGCCGGGCGCCCCTGCGCGCGGGACCGGCCCTCGCGCGGCCCCGCGCCCCGTCCGGGCCCCACTCACCTTCTCCCTGCTGGTCCGCTCGCCCGTCAGGTAGCTGTGCCGCGGCGGCGGGGGCGGAGAGAAACTCGCTTCGGGGGGCGCCTGCAGCCAGGCCTTGGCCTCCTCGTCCTCCTCCTCGTCGTCCACCTCGTCGTCGATACTCTCACGAGACTGAGACTGGAACTCGAAGTCGAAATCCACGTCCAACTCCGGCCTGGCCTCTTCCTCCACCTCCTCCACCAGCACGGTCTCGTCCGACTTCTCTGAGTCCTCCTTCTCCGCTACCTCCGCCTGCTCGACCTCCGCCCGCTCGACCTCCGCCCGCTCGACCTCCGCCCGCTCGACCTCCGCCGCTACGTCCGCTACCACCGCTTCTTCCTCCGCCTCCGCATGGTCTTCCTCCACTACATAGTCTTCCTCCACTGCAACGATGTCTTCCACCGCCTTTTCTTCCTCCTCCTCTTCCTTCTCCCCCTCTTCCTCCTCCTCCTCCAGCTCGCCCGGCCACGGCAGGTCTTCAGGCTCCATGTTCGCGTCACGCTCAAGGCGGCTGTGGTGGAGGAGGAGGAGGAAGGGGAGGAGAAGGCGAGGGGAGGGGGCAGGGAAGGGTGGGGAAGCAAGCTGACTGGCGGTTGCGGCCGCGCGCAAGCGCAAATACTGCCTTGCTTCCCACGGGGCGGGGCTAAGAGCGAGCGCGCGGGTTGCTAAGGACGCCCCGCGGGGCGGGCCGGAAGGTGACGGGACTGGGTTGCCGGCGATGACGTCACCACCCACCTGACCCTCGTCATTGGCTGGGACGTAGCGCACAGAACTGTAAGCTCACAATAAACCCCCACTGGGCTCCTGGTAAGGAGCTGGCACCGGGCCAGCGCGAGAAGAAAGGAGAGGGGAAGGGAGAGGAACCTAGGACCCTAGAATAACCACACCCACAAATTAGAGGGTTTTTTTTTTTTTATTTTTAGTTTATTGTAAAGATGCTGTGCCAAAGGGTTACAGTTACATGAGTGAGGTAATGACAACAGAACACTGTTAGCCCCTCCATTGTTTTTTTCCTACTATCCCTTCCCCTACCTCCCCCACATTGTAAAGTTTGTTTCCAACGTATTGTCCTGTGAGTATCAGAGATTTTTTTTTTTAAGATTTTTGTGCCTGTGTGACTGTGTAGCAGCCAGGTGGTTTAAGAACTGGGCACTGGCTTCTAAAATGTCAGAGTTCAAACCCTGAGATCACCATTTTTTCCCCCTATCCTGGGGCTTGCACTCAGGGCCTGGGCACTGTCCCTAAGCTGCTTTTGCTCAAGGCTAGCACTCTACCACTTGAGCCACAGCACCACTTCCAGCATTTTCTGTTTATGTGGTACTGAGGAATCAAACCCAGAGCTTCATAAATGCTAGGCAAGTACTCTACCACTAAGCCACATTCCCAGCCCCTGAGATCACCATTTAATAGTGGATAAAAACATTCCATAATTAAAATAACTAAATGTGAGGAATTTAGTAGTATTAACTTGGTGATTATTGTGCAATAGCTCACCAGATACTTGTCGTTCTCTTAGGTAAATGGACATAAACTTGGCAAGGCTGAAAATCAGCCAAGATGTGGTGTTTCCATGAATTTGTTGAAATGGAAGTCTCAGGAACTTTGCCTACCCTTGCCTAAAACTGCAGCCCTCCTGATTTCTACCTCTGGAGATACTGAGATAACAAGGGGAACCTCCCCAATCTTTTAGTGAGAAAGTACAGAAGATAATTTTAGAGACATCATAAACTGCACCTCAACTTACATACTTTTCTAGTCCATACATACTAATGATTCCAGCTCTGGTTCCAAAGTACTATTCAAATGTAGCTAGAGATAGGTGGGTAGGTAGGTAGGTAGGTAGGTAGGTAGGTAGGTAGGTAGGTAGGTAGGTAGGTAAGTAGATAGATAGATTAAAAGTTTAAGTGAAAATTAAGGGTCCATGGTAGACTCAGAAGGAAAAAATAACCATCATTTGTAATAACCATCTATCAAAGCAGAAACCCAAAAGATGAGAAAAGATGGGTAGACCCCCATGAAAGGATGGAACCCTCACCATAAACAGTCCTGTATTGGGACTAACAATTCAGGTCCCTGACTTGCATTTTCCAGAGCAGTCCTACATCTAAGTGAACACATGAAAACCTGGACTCAGACAACTCACATAATAATATTTCTTCATCTCCAATTCTAACCCATAGGTTCAAAGAATGACTCTCCTGATCCTGTCTGTGGGTGGTGGTACCCTTCATCTAGAAGCTAAGAGGCAATAAAAGAAGGAACAAAGTCTTTAATAATTCTTCCTGTATCTATTGCTACCACTTTTCTCCTTCCCTTCCTCCTCCTACTCTTCCTCTACCTCTTGCTATTCTCTAGTTTCTGAATAAACAAAAGTAATAGAAGTAAAAGAAAAAAAACAGTAGAGGAGGAAAGTAATCTTAATTGGGGTTTAGGAATTCAGCCTTAAGACAAAGGGCAGATTTTAAGAAAAAGTGAAGGAACTGGGTCATTAAAAACCCAAAACGGGGTTGGGAATGTGACTTAGTGGTACAGAACTTGCCTAACATGCATGAAGCTCTGGTTTGGTTCCCCAGTACCACATAGACAGAAAAAGCAAGTGGCACTGTGGCTCAAGTGGTACAGTGCTAGCTAACCTTGAGCAAAAGAAGCTCAGGAGCAGTGCTTAGGCCCTGAGCTCAAGCCCCACAACTGGCAAACACACACACACATACACACACACACACAGAGTGGGTTAGAACAGGTAAGGTAGAATGATGGAAGAAGGTATACTACATTATACTCAAACTGACCTGTTGAAACGAAACCCCTTTATATAATTTGTACACACACACACACACACACACACCACTGAGTTGATTTGCAGACCTAAGATAAAAAGGATATACTTTTCTTTAATATGTTCCATCATTCCTCAAACCACATCTAACTGGAAAATAAGAATATTAAGAATCTGCTGGAGGGGTTGGGAAGTTGGCTCAGTGGTAGAACACTTGCCTTGTATGCATGAGGCCCTGGGTTCAATTCCTCAGCACCACATAAGCAGAAAAAAAAAACAGAAGTGGTGCTATTGCTCAAGTAGAGAGCTAGCCTTGAGCTGAAGAGCTGAGGGACAGCGCCCAGGCCCAGAGTTCAGTCCCCACGACCGGACCCACCCCCAAAAAAAGAATCTGTTAGACACCAATGGCTCATGCCTGTCTGGCTCAAAGCCAGCCTGGGCAGAAAAATCCATGAGACTTTTCTCCAATTGACCAGCATAAAGTAGAGGCTTAAATGGTAGAAGGCCAGCCTTGACCAATAAAGCTAAGCAACAGCAGATGTCCCTGAGTTCAAGTCCTAGTACCTGCACAATTCTGTGTGTGTGTGTGTGTGTAATCTGCAGAGTCAAATATATGACCAATGTATCCTCCAAACCTTCAATAACCCCTTGAAGTTGTACCTGGTACTTCTATTGTATTTGTTCTATAACCCATTCATCTTGAACCAACACTTTGGCTTCAGTAAAATTTATTCATTCAGTATTTATTTTCTGAATTCCTATAAAATATCAGCCATCTGGGATAAATTTAAAAAAGAGTGACAAAGATGTAGACCTCATGCTTATATTGTAGCAGGGAGACCAGACAAAACTTATAAAAAATAGAGTAAACCTAGAGTGTTCTTTGAATAAAATGTCATAAACTGGGTGTAGTAACACAACTGCAGTACCAACACTTGGGAGTCAAAGACGGGAGGGTCACAAGTTTGATGTCAGCCTATCAAAAATGAGGACAAAAGGAGGAAGGAGGAGGAGGAAGAGTCTAAGAGTCTATTAGAGTCTAAGATTCTAACTCCAATTAACTAGCAAAAAGTAGGAAGTAGAAGTATGACTCAAGTAGTAGAGTGCCAGCTGTGAATGGGAAAAGTTGAGCAAAATCACAAGGACCTGAATTCAAGCCTCAGTAGTAATATTAAAAAAGTGAAACCCTGCAGAAAGTAGAAGTGTGACTCAAGTGGGAGAGTGCTAGCCTTGAGCAAGAAAGCTCAGGATCAGTGCCCAGACCTTGACTTCAAACCCAAAGTTCAGGATCAACACAAAAAAGAAAAAAAAATTAAAGTGAAACTCTGTAAATATCAAGAAAACGATGATCCTTTGAGCCAAGACTAGTTTTGTAATTACCATTTAAAGACAAACAGGACTGATTAAAATTTGACAGACAGAAATAGAAAAAGGCTAGAGGTGTAACTCAGCAGTTAGAGTTTATGCCCCAGCAGTCCAATGACAAGAATTCATACCACAGTACCACCAAATAACCAGCAAAAAAGCTGAAGGTGGATGTGTGGCTCAAGTGGTAGAAAGACAGCTATGAGAAAAAAGCCAAGCCACAGAACAAGGCCCTGAGTTCAAGCCCCCCAGCACTAGCACAAAAAGGGAGGGAGAGAAGGAAAGGTCAGTAATGTAGCTATACACACACACACACACTCTCTCTCTCTCTCTCTCTCTCTCTCTCTCTCTCTCTCTCTCTCTCTCTCTCTAGAAAAGACCAGGGAGATTAGGTTATTGAGTGAGGGGGAGAGAATTGATGAATTAGGTGGATAAATAGACAAGAACCAAGAACACAGGGTATACTGAGGAATTTAAATTTGATTCTAACTATAGCATTGAGCATTAAGGAATAGATAAGTACCACTAGAAGAGTAATCAATATGCATTTTGAAAAACTTACTTAGGCCACTGAGTGGAGAATTGATTGTAAGATATGGGTACAAGAATGAGTTCTAGAAATAGATCTCCCATTGTGGCTATTAAAAGACCTCAAGATGGGAAGATGAGAGATGTTGCACTATACTTATAAGTTGCCATGTAACTATCAAAGGGATAGGAGAAAAGAGAAAATAAGGTTTTTGTGTGCCTATTTTATATTAATATTTTACAGTCATTGCCCTCTCTAACCTCTAGAGAAAAGTGGGAATGCATTTTACATATGAGAAAATCAAAGGTAAGGTAAGGTAAGCCGGGAACTAGTGGCTCACACCTGTAATACTAGCTACTCAGAAGGCTAAGATCTGAGGATCACAGTTCAAAGCCAACCCAGACAGGAAAGTCCATGAGACTTTTTTTTTTTTTGGGTGGGGGGGTCCAGTCATGGGGCTTGAATTCTTGGCCTGGGTGCTATCCCTCATCTCTTCAGCTCAAGGCTAGCACTCTACCACTTGAGCCATAGCACTACTTCCGGCTTTTTTCTTTTTGCTTATGTGGTGCTGAGGAATCGAACCCAAGGCCTCAGGCATGCAAGGCAAGCACTCTACCACTGAGCCACCTTCCCAGCCCTCCATGAGACTCTTATCTCCAATTAACCACCAGAAAACTGGAAGTGGTGCTATGGCTAAAGTGGTAGAGCACTGGCCTTGAGCTGAATAGCTCAGGGATAGCTCCTCGGCCCAGAGTTCAAGCCCCACGGCTGACCGCCCCCCCCCCCCCCGCCCAAAAAAAAGGTGAAGTATGTTAAATAATTTGC